AACCCCCCTGCCTGCCCCCCAAGGCTCGGCCACAGCAGCTTCAGCCCTTGCTGAGCGGGCGCCGGGGCGTTCCTAGATACGGGCTCGGTGGGGTCTTCCCCTCCCCAGGGCGCCGGCACGTACGTAGATGCGGGTGGGGTCGAAGGGGCACTCGTGGGAGATCTGTATCAGCTCCATGTTGGCGAAGGTGCAGGCGGCCAGCAGGGCGTTCCCTTTGTTGGCAAAGGTGAAGATAATGGAGACGGCCAGCCCCAGGGAGCAGAAGAGGGCGACCAGGGTGCTGCTGATGCTGAGGGAGAAGACGGCCCACTTCTGCGGCGAGGGAGGATGCGGGTGGGGTCGAAGGGGCACTCGTGGGAGATCTGTATCAGCTCCATGTTGGCGAAGGTGCAGGCGGCCAGCAGGGCGTTCCCTTTGTTGGCAAAGGTGAAGATAATGGAGACGGCCAGCCCCAGGGAGCAGAAGAGGGCGACCAGGGTGCTGCTGATGCTGAGGGAGAAGACGGCCCACTTCTGCGGCGAGGGAGAGACACCGTTTACAGCCAGGGCTGGGGGGCAGGCAGCCAGGGGCCACCCACAGAGGCTGCTGCATCCCTCCCCCGGCCGGGCCCCAGGCACGTGGTGCGAGCACAGGCCTGGGAGCCGCCTGCCACTGGCCAAATATCTTCTATGCAACATCCCTGATTTGCCACCCGCTGTCCCACCCCACCCCTCCCCCCAACAGCCTTCCCACGCGAGTGAGTCACCCTGCACTGCGCCCCTGGACAGACTCAGCCTCAGTTTCCCCGGATGGAGAATCACGAGGTTCATTTCAAAGTGGGCCAGTACGTAGGCCTCCCCTCCTGCAGCCCCAATGTTTTCCTGGGGTGGGTCCTCCATCGCCCCTAGACATGGGGGCCACTCTCCTCCCACTTCCCCAGCCCTACAGCCTGTTCTGGGCTTTGAAGCTGGCGTGGAGCCACTGTACCGTGTGTGACTAACCCGGGCATGCAGCTCCCTCTGGGTGGGGCTCGGAGCTGCCCCCTCCCCAGGCAAGCTCCCAAGCCGAAGTTCAAACAAATCTGTCCCCTGGATCCTGCTAGAGGGGGAACGTGCAGCGAGCCGGGAGGCTAAACGGGCTCCTCCCTACACAGGGCGAAACCAGGGCCCTTTCCCCAGCAGAGTGCTGCCTTTTCTGGGGCACGGCGGGACCTGGGGGGAGAAGGGAGCCGTCCTTACCAGGGCAGTTTGGGAAAGGTATCGGGACAGCACAATGGCCGCGATGCCGCAGGAGATGGTCTGCAAAGGAAGCGGAGAGAGCAGTGGAGGGGTGCCCTGCTAGGTTAGGTATGACAGGCCCGCAGAGCCGCGGGGACGGGGCGGGGTGTGGCTGTCGTCTC